CCCCAAAACCCCAAAACCCCAAAACCCCAAAACCCCTTTCTACAAGAGAGAGTTGGGCTATATATGATAATCATACTTCTTAATCTTGTATTTCGCCAAGTCAAACTTGGTAGTCTTCAGGTACTTCCACAACAGCAAATTACAGAAACTGTGCTTGAAGAAGTACTTAGTGTAATCCCTGAAGTTATTCTTATTCGGGAAAACCCTTCGGAAGTTACCCATCCTCTTAAACTCTTCCTCAAAGTTTAGGATAACGTCAACTTCGTTGCCCTTGAGGTTGGCAAAATTGATGCTGTTCATGAGCTCAGCCCTCTTTTGGTTTCTCTCTTCATGAGTTGTACAGCCTTCGTACTCGTTCCGTTTCAAGGGTGGGTTGCCTTCGTATTGCTCTTTCATCCTCAATTCAGGGAAACTTATGGGCTTGACCCCTACCAAGGTGAGCATGTCTCACACCAACTTCGTCTTGAGCATCTTGTCCAAAGTCGAATTCGAACTCAGGGATGGGTTGGTGTTGACCTCCAGGAGCCATGGATTCATTGCGGAGTCAAACATTATATCAAACCCATAAAGCTCATAGCAGATACCTGTTACACCAGTCATGCTGTCATAAGCATTGGCTATGATATCTTGGCAGGTGATCAGAGTCTTGATCACCAAATCTTCGATCTTCAGCAGAGCGATCTTAACATCATGGCCTTGATCCCGGATGGCATCCTCCCACATGGTAAAGTTCCATTTTGAGGAATCCTCAGAAGCATCATCGTTCTTTTTATAGTCCTCTGATTTCTTCTGAAGGCTGTAGTTCGACAGGTGCATGTACTTATCATCAATCGTCTTGGGGCTAAGTTTGTATTTCTTAGTACAGAACCTGACCAGACCGTCATTATAGATATACACGATCAGTGGATCGTAACTTGTTACCACAACATAGAGCCTCAGATCATATTTAAGCCCTTTGATGAGATGTGGGTCTGCCAGGTACTCAGATATCAAGAATCCTTTGTTATCTAGAGGAATCTTAGCTGATGGAGAAATCACCTTTATGCCCCTCCCACAGCTAGATGCAGTAGGCTTGAAGATCCAATACTTTTTTTTCTGGGATTGTTCTAGTGCATTATCTTTGGCAGCACGGAACTTCTCAGCATCCTTTGGGAATATATAAGTTTTTGGCATATAATTATAATCTCCTGGAAAAAGGTCCTCCTGCACCTGGTAGTTGCGATACAGTTGGTCCTTTCTACCCAGATAATAGGAGTAGGGGAAATGGTTCAGCTTCTGGAACTTCCTCACATGCTGGAGATCCTCCTTCTTACAACTCATCATGAACCTAATATTAAAGTCATTTGGATAATCATCTGTGAGAAATTTATCAGTTGAGTCCAAATATTGTTTCGCTATTTTGTCAACATCGCTGGTGTCCTTTATGTCGGAATTCATCTCCTTTTTCTCTTGAAGTTGTTTATACCGATACTTGATCAACAACTTTTTGTCCTTCAGGAACATACCTGCTTCATTACAAGCACGTATAACTGAATTGTAGATATGAATGTCAGTGTCGTAGCGGAAATATGCTCTGCAAGATTCAAATTCGTCTTGTTCCACTCTGATGACCCTCTTTCCTTCACTCTTTTCCTCAATTCAAAAATCTGGATATGGGAAATAATATGTCTCTAGTCGATCCTTGAACGGCGACTTTAGCAAGGTCACTAAGCTACTTGTAGGGTCTTGCACTGTAAAAGGAATCTTGCGTATTTGATCGGTAATTGTCTTATAATCCTGCTTACTCTGATCTACAATTAAGCCGTTGTTCTTAATAACATAATATTTTTCATCAGAGGAGTCCTTAACAACGAAGCCGTCTGTTAGCATGTTCTGGTTCTCAGGCACCGGGACTTCAAGGCCAGTAGGAATTTTCTCCTCTTCAGAGTCATCAGAATAACCTCTTCTTCGTGCTCTTTTCCTCTCAAGCATTGTCTGGCCTTTTGACTCTTCAATAGGGGTGTCTTTCAAGTTAAGATGGATGCTGTTGCTTTCATGATCTCTTCGCTTTTTTCCAGCTCTTCTTTCCATATCGAATAAAATTTAATAAACCTGGGGTTTTGGGGTTTTGGGGTTTTGGGGTTTTGGGGGTTTTGGGGTTTTGGGGTTTTGGGG